TTTTTCACTAGAACTGTCTTACTTTTCCCTTCTCTCAGAATTTTTATTTCTCTCCTAAATTCCAACGGTAGACAGCTTTAGAATCATTGGAGTTTTCATCTGCTTGAAGCTCAACAGGCCAACGGCCATCATGCCTTCAGTCCCTTGCATGCGTGCCTCATTCAATGGCACGACAGTTTGGGATACTGTTTGCCTGGCAGACTACCTGAGTTGTGTCCCACATCTTGGCTTCATCCTCCTGGCATCTCTCCTTCTACTGCTGTTTGGATGCTGCCCTAGACTGAGACGGGCCAAGACCCCTTACACCCTCCACTCCACCTTCCACCACCTGCGCTGGTTCCTACTCTTCTGTCTCATCCTGGCCAGCATCTTCTTCATCTTGGAAGGTGTCCTGTCAGACTTGAAGTCCCCCAGCCCCCAAACCCGTCCCCACCTGTACTTGCCAGCTGTCTGCACTGGCATTGGTGGGTTAATGATGGGCGTGTACTTCCATCACATGGAGGCGTGGCTGAGGCCAGGAATGGCTTGGCTGATGCTACCTTATTGGCTGCTTGCATTGACTGGGGAAATAGTCAGATTGGTGACTTGGATATCAGATGCCTCCCGCTTTGATGTCAGAATCGTACGCTTGGATGCAGTGATTCTTACCATCATATTTTATTCCATTTTTGTACTAGTGGAGGTCTTAACTTTACTTGCCAAGGTGAGAATGTCTAGTTTCTAAGATTTCCAAACCTTCAAAATACTTTAAAATCTATCCTTATTGGAAACTTCAAAGGGGCAACAAGTCAATATAATTTGTGTGTTGAAAAAACTTATAAGGTCAGATATTCTTCATCATATCCTTGAAATTCGGGTAATTCCAGAAATTAGGGGTCCAAAGTGTGACATTTTTGTGTCCCTGTTACATCTGATCTTTGCTATTTGACATGGAAATATCACCGGAAATGATTTCAAACTATTACTATTTGTTTGGTAGGTAATTTGAATTAATTCAGCACTCTTGGAAATAAAAAAATGTGTTCTGAACTTACAAAATCATATGTCATATGTGTCCGGGACCCCTAATTTCTGGAATTACCCATTCGCAAGTTTTATATCATATTGTAGATCTGTGGCCACATCAGTCAGATGAGTGATAAACTGCCCGAGGATTTACAGAATTCCTCTATGAAATATTACATGAGGTATGTTTGACTTAAATAAAAAATTATGATAATCAAACCATCTTCTTAATGCAAACCAAGTTTAAACTTTAATATCTCAGAAAAGTTACCACAAAGCCTCAAAAAAAATCCCTCATCTTTTCCAGATTCACTTACACCCCTTTCTTATTTCTTTTTTACTTGATGCACAATCAAATGGTCTTGTGGAGAATGTTTGAAGGTTTTCTGTTTCATTTTTTTCTGTAGTTTGATCACTGCCCTGGTCAGCATCAGTGCTGGTTTGAAAATTACAAAAATAACCTCAAAGAGTCCCCTCTGGTTCGTTCATGTACATTATTCCATAACCGGTTAATTTGCTTTTCCAAGGAAACAGTTCACAGAAATATTCAGACAGTGTTCATTTTGACTATAAGGAGCCCCATATGTCATGCAGATTCACAGAAAGGGCATTGTAGCTGCAAAAATGTAAGACAGTATCACTAAGTAAGGGAACAAAAATTAAACCTTTAAAGTGGACCATTTGGTGTATATTTTGGTTTGAATTTTCACCTTTGGCTCAATTTGCTTAGTCTGTAAGATACACATGTAGTGTTGTAATGTGCTGTGGTTGTGTGGAGGTTAAAAATGCTGAGTCTATTGGCCTTACACAGTTTGATTATTGGACTTGCTTTTTTATGATGTTTATCAAGAAGTAACCTTGTAGAGGCCAGATGTTTCTGTTTATTGTCTGCTCTGTGGAGCTTATCAGTGAAACTTGTCTGTGTCCAAAGGTTTGGTTTACAAATGAAGAACAAAACAAAAAAGAAATTGTGAAACCTCAGCAGAAAAGCGTATCAGTATATACTTGTCATGACTTGGCATTTTCAATGCATGGTGTAAACCAATTTTAGCTTTGCCAATATGTTGTGGTTTGATTAATGTGGAGGGTACATGATGAAATAATGCCCCTTCAGAATTTTCAACTTCCAACCGAAATTATTCTGTCTTTTCTAAAAATAATTGCACCCCTGTGCCTACTCAAGGATTTCAAACAAACATGAATTCTCTTTTGGGGGCAAGTTGTTTCAAGCAGATCTATCACAAAGTGACCCGATGTTAGTTCACTAACAGCCAGTGGCGTAGCTAGGATTTTACTGGTGGGAAAGGGTGCACAAGGGGGCACCAGCATCTTGGGGGGGGACCAGCTTTCAAGTTTTTGTTAGCCTTGTTCAATGTCCATTCCTCCATTTTTTTCAGGGGGGGCACCTGAGGGGGCACCGGGATTGGGGGGGGCAGACGTTCACTTATAGCAGAACATGAGAACAGCCTTAATAGAGTAACAAACCAGCTTTGATAAAGATCCCACAGATCTGTGTGAAGCCACAAGCAGGCCCCAAGACAAGTGCAGACATACTGAAAACAATAAATTTTTACTGAAGAAATTTAACTTCTTCACTTTCACTTTGAATGAAGTTCATTGAAAGTACAAAGGCCTAATTTTTTATTCATTTACTTCAAGGGATTATTTTACAAAAAAGCTTTATTTTACAATAGGCTATTATGTATTTTAGGACAATTTGGAATTTCAACAGAATTTTTTTCTGACAAAAATTTCGATCACAGATTTGTCAGTTTGCCTTCTCTGTTAGTTTTCAAGTGGCTGGGATGGCTGATGCAGTTAGGCTACCAACGCCCTCTGGAAATCAGTGACTTAGGAGATTTGCCCAAAATGAGTTCCTCCCGCTGGAACAAAAACATCTTTGAAAGATGTCTACAGCGAGAAAAGGTTAAAAATTGTATATTTGCTTATCAGAGTGCTTGTATAATTGTTTGTTCGCTATATAAATAATATTAATAAGAATAGCCTACTTGAACTTTGATAAGAGGACACCAATAATTATTTTGATATTTAGAGTCAAAGTAGAGGCATGCAGACTGACATACAAAATAACTGGTTCAAATGTGGAAATCTACCAAGGAAAATTTATCAGGTGCCAAGGTTTTGCATTTATATTCTTTCCTCAGCATGACTCAAGATCAAGTAGGCGTGCCTGACAATTAATTGCTCTTCATATCTGGCTTTACTCAGAGTAGAAAACAGTTCATTAAATTTATTTTTCATAGGTTTTCTGCTGCAAAAGTTGTCACTTGGCATGATTGCTGAAGAGTTCACAATGTTCAAATGCTTGATTTTGTTCTCACAGACAAAGTGTTTGGTCTTTAATGCACCACATGCTAATTTTGCATTAGCCTGAACAATGAAACGGCACCAAAATATCTTTTAAATAAAAAAAAACCAGTTATAGAAAATTAAGTCAAGTGAATCTTCAAGGGTCGTGTTAAAAAAGTACAGGGGCCCATTAAATTCAACAAACACAGCATTTACAACTTGCCAAATTAACTACCTACCTCAGGTTTAGAGAGCTTGCAACATTTAATGGAATATGTGAATTGGTCTTTTTTACCTGATTTTGTAGGACAGAGTCGCCAGGCTAGGAGACATCAACAAGTTTTCCCTCTACCGTATTATGGCAAAGGCCCACATCAAGTGGCAGGCCCTAGCTGTTGTGATGAAGCTAATGGCTGACTCTCTCAACTTTGTGCCACCCCTCACCATCAATGGAATCATCACGTATGCCACGGCAGTATACTATGGAAGAGAAGAGAGTGACACAGAGGTATTTTGTTCAAAATGAACTTTCTACTCCTCGTTAGAGTAAAAACATAAACAGGGTTGAAAAACGAAACATGAAGAGCACTATTGTACTTGACAGTGAACAGGAAAAACAGTTGATCTCCCTAAGTAACATTTGGTCAAGCAAACCTCTAGATGATGAGTATTTTCTTCAAATCGTTGTGATGTTACTGAATTGTTTTTGCATTGCAGTTCCCAGACTATGTGACAGTCAGTGAGTTTTTCCGCAGTGGCTTTGTGCTCATTGCCATCATTTTTCTGACGGGCGCTTGTCGCTTCATCATCCTGCAGAACTACTACCATGTGACAATCGTCTCAAGCATCCATCTCCTTGCTGGTCTGCAGGTCGGGGGTCATTCTCAAACTTAACTCGTAGCTGTATACAGTGTGATGATTTGACATTCAGAATTAAAAGACAAGTTACTGCGGATCAAGCCAAACACTCGTGAACAAGTGGTATATTCATGCTACGTGCCTCTTCAACCGGTGGATGTAGTGAGTTATGCCCCCTTAAGTGGCATTCCAAAGAATACAGTAAAACAATCTGGAGAACGGGCCACATTGACATCAGAAGGGGATTAATTTATACATTTTTCCCCCTTTTTTTTCATTTATTCTCAAGTGGTTATTTAATAGTTTTCAAGACTTAAAGGTATAATCACAAAAATATGGTCCACTTTGCTCAGATTCACCTCAATTTTGGAAGTTCCTTCCAATACAAGGCTCATTCCCGTTTTCCATCAGTTCTTGATATATAAACACACTTTCCGAAAAAAAAGAAAAGAAAATAGACCAAAAATGTCACCTTGCAATCATAATTAACAAAAAATGGTGGCCTTTAGGGAGGGTTATATTTCCCATTATATTCCCCCCCAGCCAGATCTACCGTTGATTGCCTTTTTCTCCGTAGAATTTTGGTAACATTTACCAAAGATATTAAGAAGTCCACATTTCAGCTAAGGGAACGTTTCATAATTACAGAAGGCGGTATTTACTGCGGTGCCGCTGTATTTTTGCGGTACCAGCATTAAGCCCTTTCGGGTAACTAGTGCGGTGCCGCTAAAAAAACAATGGTACCGCAGTAAATACCGCCTTCAACAATTATGAAATGCTCCCTAATGTGTGCCATGCCTGGCTCTTCCTTCCAGGTTGCTGTTTATGACAAAACCCTCCGTCTGTCTAGCTACACACTCACCAGTGGAGAAATGACAACAGGCCAGATTACCAACTTTATGTCCGTCGATGCTCAGAATATCAAGATGATGTATGAATATGTGCACCACATTTACTCCGTACCAATCCAGGTGAGCTGTTGTCATGGCAATGGATGCAGTGTGGACCACCTGAGGATGCCTCTCAAAAATATTTTAAAGTTCTGTAGTTTTAAAAAATGGATCACCAAGTCGACCAAGTCTGAAGTTTAATGCCACCTTCTTGCGCAAGGTATCCATCTGCTATTTGACCATCAACCTCAAATAATCTTTAATTGTGTTCATCATTTCATCAGGTCACTGTCTTGCTTGTCATGTTGTATTTCAACCTTGGAGTAGCTGCGCTAGTGGCATCCTGTTGTTTTGTCATCGGGGCTCCCATTCAGTACAAACTGGCCAAAATGCAGGCCAGTGTGAAAAAGAATGCACTGGTAAGGGCCAAAAATAGATTATGTCTTTGACATTTAAGGACTTTTGTGAAGAGAACTTATATCAGCTTGACCTGAGGTCTCGTAAAATCAAACATACAAATTTGTCCCATCTTTTTTAGGGTTGCTAGATGCATTTTGATTTTATTATCTAGTCGCAGCATTATGGGTTGGTAGCTCTAAGCTTTAGGTCACCTTTGTACCTTTGAGTTCAATTTGTATAGCTAGCAAGGAACTTTTGGGAAAAATTGTTCAAAATCCAACAAATTGATATCAGGTACGTATGTTTTCATTCAGAGTGGATTTTGTGAGACACAGTTACAGAGAGCTTTATATTTCTGCAATTCAAAAGTGAATGTCATGACCCAGACACTCTAAATATTGTATTTAAAAAAGCATGTATCAAAAAAGAGTGAAATCTTGTTGACCACATCTGGATCTGTTTCCTCTTGAAAACAGCATGTTTCACCCATCTGTCCTCTTCCAGAGAATTTCTGACGAGCGCCTCAAGCAGACGCACGAGATGCTCCAAGGGATGAAGCTGATCAAGCTGTATGGATGGGAGAAGATCTTCTCTGAGGTCATCACATTCGTCCGTGCAAGAGAGATCAAACAGCTGACCAAGGCAGCTGTCCTGTATTCACTTTCCAGTATGTTTGCTAAACACCTTCCTAAACATACCTTGATCATAAGACTTTCTGCATGTTGTTTTTGTTTGACTACATTTCTCTGAATTTCTGCCACAACTTTGCTTTTCTCTGAAAGATGAATTGACCAATAATTTATCCATTCTTTCAGATTTCCTGAGTTTTACAACCCCAGCTCTTGTCACACTTCTGGTATGTGCACTTTTCAGTGCTGAATTCAAGGGAATCATTTCCGAATTTAATTATAGATTAAATGACCTCCCAATTCCTTCCCTCAAGCCCACACCCAGGTACTTGTATATCCCTAGATGTTAACCACTTTGTGACAGAGGGCATGATTTGGCCAACTGTACATTCATGGGCATATCAGATCCTGATATTAGGTTTCATTTTTCACCCATTATATCCTTAGATGTCTACGAAATCAGCATATAGTTTGTTGCCACCTTGCACAGCTTGTGAAATGTCACTCCATGGGTACATCCCAGAGTGTTAAAAAAGAAATGTGGTTGCAGTAAAAAAATACTTTACTGTGCAGATGCTGTTTAAATGACTCTTGGAAATCAGTTTTTGTGGTTTTTTGGCAGAAAAGTTGAGTGTAGTGCAGCTATTACCAATCATGCTTATTTGATAGTTAAAAGTTTCAGCCAAACCAATACGTATGCCATCTGAAATTGGTTAAAAACCCTGTTTCTCTGTTTTGCAGGGTTTCATCCTGTATTCAAGTTTCACTGGTTTACAGTTGACCCCAGCCGTAGCGTTTACCACACTGTCCATTGTAAATCAGATGCGAATGCCAATACGAAGTGAGTGATATGAATCCTTCATATCTGACATTTTCATGTTAGCCTGGCCGCCAGTAATCTGACAGTACATGACACATGCTAGCAACAAGGTGACCTTGCTAAAACGAGAGAAATACAGTGTACAATGATCCCTTTCTTTGACGTATAAAATATTATTATTATTATAAAATATTTCCAAATAGGTCACTTGGGAGACATTTTGTGGCAAATTTTTCAACCTTAGGGAGACACCGGTCATTAGGGAGACATTTCAATGTCTCCTATTTCAATGTTCCAATGGGAATGTCTCCAAAGTGACCCATTTTCGGTAATCCTTATTATCACTACTATTAATTATTTCTGGTAATGACACCAAGGATTCCTCAAAAGTGCACTAGGTACCGTACCTCACAAGCCTTAAAAAACCTGTAGAGAGGAGACAATGAGAAGCAGTTACAGTTTTAGAGGTGGGCGGAAAAACCCAGAGGAATATTCTGGAAAACCAGGGAATCTATTAGGGACTGAAAGCCCAATCCACATGTAAATCGAGCCGGGAATCGAACCCCGAACCACAAAGGTGGAAGGCAAGGAAAGAACCACTACGCCAACCCAACTGTTATATGTGATATTGACCAAAAAGAACCTAGCATTTGAGATTGCTAAGAGAAAACTTTTATGACAACTTTTTTGTTAGAAATGTCGTAGTAGTGTGAACTTTACTACCTGCGATGTCAAATTTGGCCCTTGGCCCATTCAAATACAATCAGTCTTAAAATGTCATTTTTCCCCCATTAAATGCCTCCCAATAAGATCTCTGCAAACACCTTGTGATTTAAGGTATAGGATACCCCATTCTTGTCATATTTAATCTCAACAGTGATACCAAGGACAACAAATTTGGTGGTAAGTGCTCATGTCAGTGTGAAGCAAATCAAGCGCTTCTTCTTAGCTGACGAGATTGAGACCATTGAAGATGCACCTCTGAATGCCACACCAGAAGCAGATGGGGACCAGCTAAGTGTGACTATCATGACACCAGACCCCGGGATTGAAATGGAAAACATGGACTCAAATGAAGGAATACACGGCGTAGTGAATCCAACTTTTGATGTTGAGGAGGTGAGTCACTCCTCTCTTTACCAGGTAATTATTCCATGCTTCAAAGGAAACAATTGACATTAATTGCAGACCACAACAATAAAATGTATATAGCATTGCAACAGCATCCCAAGGCATGGTCATCATGAGACGACCAAAAGTAATGAGAGTTTAGAAAGAGATTGGTTTAGGGAGAAGGAACTAATTTAACCATGCTGTGATTCCTCATTTACCAGAAAACCTGAGGTTTAGCCTCGAAAACGGGGGTTTTCAGCCAGGTGATACCAGGATTTTGTTTCTGGGGTTGTCACAGTTCAATTCAGATTTTGTCATTCTTGTTTCAGATGTTGGAGGTTGAGGTAAAGGCTGTACAGTCCAGAGACCTCGGTAGTGCTCAAAATGGTCAATTGTTGACGTCAATTCCTCAATTGCCAGAGGATATAGCAATTAAGGTATGTTATCCATATGTCCAAAGTGGTTGGGAAATGGATCCTAGTTCATTTTTGTTTTTTCAAATTGTTTATTTTCATAGAGATTAAAGGTCATGATCACCAATGGCATTTTGCTCTATATAATATTGTACAAAATTAAGGTCTGTTATTTACTGCAGTTGTCATTCCATTCCATTTGTTTCATAAAAAACCTGATAGTAATTGAGTCGTGACAAGTTGTGAGTGCTTTGTTCCGTTTTAGGTCACAAATGGGACATTTTCTTGGGATTCTGGGACTACCTCTACACTGAAGGACATCAATGTTGAGTTTCCAAAAGGTATGGAATTATGGGGCATCTTTCCAGGGGATCAAGCAGCACTGACTTCTGCAGTGTTGTATTCGAAACCATCACAAGACCAGACACCAGACCAGACACCAGACCAGACACAAGACCAGACACCAGACCAGACACCAGACCATGCACAAGACTGGTCACATGTAACAGGGTGAACAATAACAATGCTTTTGTTGGAGTTCATTTGATTGGCTTGTGACTTGAATTCAGACTGGAGGTCTTGTGTTGGTCTTGCGTGATCTTATGAAGGTCCTCAGTGGTCTTGACTACAACAACGGATTTCTGCATAACCATACCCTTAGCGGTAAAAACACAACTGGACAGACATACACAATCCAATGTGTTCGTCTCATTTAAGTCCACAACTTTATGTAACAAATTTTCTCCCCCCCCCCACTCTGATATGAGTATAATTCTCATTGCTGGGCATTTTACCTTCTTGAAATCGAAATACACAAGACAAAAATGAGACAGAGGTTTTCAGTCACCATTATCCTGAATGTTTTCAAGAGTGCCTTTTTGTGTTTTGATTTAGGCAAACTGACTATGATTGTCGGCCAGGTTGGTGCAGGGAAGTCGTCGTTGCTGTCCGCACTGCTTGGTGAAATGCACACTCTTGCTGGGACTGTACAGTTTAACAAGTAAGCTTTTAAGCCTTATCAGATGTTGTTCTGGGGAGTTCTTTTATTAATGAAATAAAGCAGATTTGTTCAGTGAAAGTTCTGAAATGTTGTCAAAGTCAATTAACATAATTTTTCCGGACATTCCAAACAGTTTCTTAGATCTTTGTCATTTCACCAAAAATGCTCAACATCTTAGTTTCCAACATCATAGGAATCATAAGGATCAGAAATATGGGTCCACCACACCAACAAAGTTTTAATCTTGAACGAAGCATGGTTTGATGATTGAAGGTGGGTTGTAAGTAGAGTGCATAGTCCTTGCATTGCTGTGTTAATAGGTATGGGGTTGCTCCATTCAGTCACAAGTTATTTCTGGTTTTTCAGATCATTTGTCTGTTTGTTTTTGCTATCCTCTATGTTTAGAAAGGAGAAAGGCGTAGCCTACTCTGCCCAACGTGCCTGGCTGCTGAATGCCTCCCTCAGAGACAACATCCTCTTTGGACAAGAGCTGGAGTCCGAAAAGTCAGTTTCTTATGAACATTATATTCTTTATTTCAAAAAGTTGACACTAAACAAATACTGTTACAAATTTGCTGCCCTGGTGATATAAAAACTACTAATAATTTCAAAATTGTAATACCACGTTTCTTTGGGGAGTGATTTCCTTGTGAGAAAGAAAAGAATTAAACCATAGTTTTTAGAAAAGTATTCCATTTTCAACTCCTTCCCCCCACCCCAAACCTGGGTATACTACAGGACTCCTGAGATATAACCTGAGATTTCAGGTAAAACATAACTGTTTTACCTGAAAAACATTCAGAAACCAACCACCCATTTAAGTGTTTCTCACTTTTTCTTGAGTATGTTCCAAGCCATCTACCCTTGCTCTAACGATCTTTCCTCCTGTTATTTGTGTTTTAGATACCAGGCGGTAGTGTCTGCCTGCTCCCTTCAGCCGGATATCAACATCCTGCCCGGCGGGGATCAGACAGAGATTGGAGAGAAGGGAATCAACCTGAGTGGAGGGCAGAAGCAACGAGTCAGCGTAGCCAGGGCCATCTATAGCCACCATGACATTGTCATATTGGTAAGCTGAGAGGTTTTGAAACGTTGTCAAGCAAAGACGGCACCTCAAGAGGAAGGGTTTATATTTATTGTGGACTCTGCATGCTGTCTTTGAATTTGATTTGAGTGAGTCTACTTGTACAGCTCAGCTTGATTTTTTGTACAGTCTTGAAGAAAAATTATCTTGCTTCACAAAAGTTCATTACTGATCAAAATGTCCTGAGCTGCATATTTCTTTTGACCCACTGACACTGGAGCTTTGTTCAGCATGGAAATTTGCTAGGCAATATGTTTGCTGCCTCGAGGCTTTATGGCTTTGCCAGATAATGGCTGTGAGACTTTGACGGACAAGTGCAGTCTTAGCTATGCATAACAATGGCAATATCATGCAAAGAGCAATGTTTCTTTGTATAATTACGCAGGATGATCCCTTGTCGGCTCTTGATGTCCACGTGGGCACTCAGCTGTTTGAAGAAGGGATACTGGACTTACTGTTGGAGAACCATCGCACTGTGGTACTGGTCACTCATCAGGTTCAGTACATCAAGTATGCTCATAAGGTTGGTAGGGTTTCCTGCAAATCTGCCCAGCCTGAGGGTCATGGTGTAATGTCTGATTTGAAAAACAAGAAATGTTGTTGGGACTGTGACCTGGTGTATTTCGAGACTGTGTTTCAGTTTTAAGGAACAAAATAAAGAAATTGATGCTGATGGAACATTTTGTTCCATTCTTCAAAAAATTGAGATCATTTCGCAGAATGTGGTGGAGGTTAGGGAAGGGGCTATGATCAGTCGAATGTTTTTCCAACCCTCGATTATTTCATACATCATCATTTTTGACCAAATATTGCTCTTTCTACATAGGTGCTGGTGATGAAAGATGGCCACATCGCTCTCCAGGGAACCCCAGATGAAGTCTGGAAGGCTGATCCTGAGCTGAAGATCTCCCGCATCATGACGGCCGAGTCGGACATCTCTGAACCAGAGGAAGAGAGGAAACTGCTACAGAAAGCTGTAGAGGAACTGAAGAAAGAAGAGCAAGGAATTGGTACATTAATGGACTCCATTCAACTTGGAATATGTTACTCTTCCAAAAAAAACCAAAGCTTGTAGATTAATAGATCAGTCTTATCCACCTGCCAACAGTATTATTCCACGTTGTACTTGTCCCAGGTACAGTATTATTTTGGGACTTTTTACCAACTTTTTAGATTGACAAGATACCATAAAACTTTTTCCAAACTTGAACTTCATAAATGTTGACCCAAAGTGGTTAATTATTCATGATTTGTTGGATGTAATGAATCACATCATTGCTTTTTTTAATACTCCCAAACTGTGTCATGATGCAGTGTTTCGTACAATGCCCAGCAGTGGTCCATGGCCATTTGAGTATTCATGAACCCTTGTTCATCCTCCATGGACTCGTTCGAGTCTTGCGTGTACAAACACAGTGGGAATCACTCAAACGTTAAAGTTATCGAGTATCTGTGCCTCACAGCACTTCATTCACAAGTCGTAGAATACATCTGCAGAATCAAAATAAAGGAAGCTTTTGGGGCATTTGGGGCTTTTTCCCTGCTCACAGATGCAGAAGAGGAGGGCACCTTGATGAGCAAGGAGGAACGTGAGAAGGGCGCCATCTCTTGGCGAGTGTTTCTCTTCTATATGCGGGCCATGTCGTACCCCCTGGCCTTCCTAGCTCTGTCCATCATGGTGGCCTACAATGGCATGATTGTTGGAACTGACTTCTGGCTTTCGGCATGGTCAGAGGCTGGAGACAGGCTGGATCTGGAGAATGCGACAGACGTAAGACAAGTCATCATCTCATCCTTTGGGATGCATTTAAGCATCTCGCATCGATGCGACTCTTTGCGAGTATACTCATGAGGTCACGATAACAGCAGAAGTTTGACCCGTGAGAAACAAGAGTATATCCCCTTGAATCATAAGATTATTTCAAGAAGGAAAAAAATTGAAAACTTTCCTGGTAAATGTGTTTGTTCTGTGGCTTCTTGAGGGATCTATTGATTATATTTTGTCACATCTCTCTTTCAGAAAGTTTGAAAATGTTCGCTCACAAACTTGACTCAGTTAAAATGAAAATGGTCAGCTTTCACACTCTACTAATCTGACATTTGCCAAGTAATTCTACTGGATTGTGGTACGTACATATTAAGGAGATAGAATGCAGACTAAACATGATTAAAAAGGGAATGCCAAATTTAAATCAAATGAAACCTGAAACAGTTGTGCAACAGAAACTTTACTGTTGAACATTTTTTTTCCTTGGAGGATGCACTTGACCATTTGCACCATTTTTCTGCCCTTGCAGACTGACATGTATATATCATACAATGCATACAAACATGGCCATTTTGAAGCAGAAAAGGAAGTAGGGGCTTTGCATTGGAACAGCCATTTGATAGCTGCAGAGCAACTGCATGTAACTGCTTGCATGGCTGCTCAGATGTCTTAACCACTCCGTCTTAAAGCTGTGAGCAAGCATACAAGACTCATTCAAGCAGTACTACATGGACTTGTAACGATGCTTGTAACTACACCTTTATTGATAAAATTACAAAAGGGACAATGTATTGACACTATTTAGTGCACGGCTCTCATGGTAAAGATGCTACACTATCAAACAGGTATGTTATGCTCATTCTGCCAAAATAATTCCCTGCGCACTTACATCTACATGTAATTTACTTAGTGGATTTTAGTGGAATTAGTGATTGAAATAATTTGCAAGTTACACTGATCCTTGGCTGTTCATCTCTTGCGGGCCACCAATTAAGACTGATGTACTGTCAGTTTGTGCATCAATTTAAATTTTGGCCTACCCCACTGGCTTTCCACTGTCTACTTAATACATTGGGTTGTGATGCTCTCTTACTAATCATAACTGCAAAGTTTGTGAATTTTTCTTCACTCAACAGCAAGAGATTAGCGACACACAGACATATTACATCGGTGGCTACACAGGCCTTGCCCTGTCCTCAGCTGCCCTTTCCTTCATGTCTGCAGTCATGTTTTTTGTTGCCGGGCTTTTGGCGGCACGCCAGCTCCACAGAAGGATGCTGAACGTCATGTCCAGAGCCCCCATGCGTTTCTATGACACCACTCCAATTGGACGCATCCTGAACAGATTCTCAAGTGATATCCACACTGTTGACGATGTAAGCTGAGCAAACAATTTAAGTCTCTTTAAATATTGTTGGGTGTCACTCCATTTTGTGCAAGAGTTCCTTACTTTGGTTTATCGCAAACCATATAGTTGTAGTGCACAAATTCTGCAAACATTTTTCCTGCCTGATTTTTCTTTCTTATGTTTTCATTGATTACATTGATTGATGCTAACACTTTTCGCAGTGATTTGACCCTCGAGTGATTTCTTGATTTCTTTCTGGAGTCTTTGTTATTTTCGTCATTTAAGAAGGGTCAAGGGGATAAACCAAACTATAAAAACAGTTAGAATTTGTCTTAGAATCACTTTTTGTATATCTCTGTACTCTTCCTAAATGTATGAAGACTGTTTGACTTTTTTTTAGTTGAACTGAACTGAAAAGTGCACTCTTTACACATTCCAAATTGACCAAGAATTTCTGGACAAGTGAGGGCGCTTTTCCTTTGATGTAAATCCAGGAAGACATGGTTCAGTTTGCATGTTTTCATGTTCAAATTGTGAACTCAAAATCTGAAAACATTTCTGTGAAATGGTTGCTTGCTTGCTTATTGCTATATACTTACACAACACTAAATTGCAAAGGAAATGAAATCTACGATAGCAAGGTTTAAACAAATTTGGAAATTTTCTGTGCACAAATCAGTGCAACATTGAGGCTCGGCGCCTTGGATGGCATTATAGCATAAAAACCAATAAAGCTCCAAAATGGGTCAATATTGCAAAACAAGAATTTGAAATCAGGTAAATTGAAGGCTTTTAGTACAGCTTAGTGAAATATTTCTATTTCATGGTCCCTTTAAGCCTTTAGACTAGTACTCTTGGCATTCACATTTCTTTGAGATGCCCAGTTTCTAATTTTGCTGGAACTTTGTTTAAACTCTCCACAAGCTAGGCCTCCTTGCTGACGTCAACCTGATTACATTAGATATTTTGTTGAATCTTTTAAATTTTTCAGATGCTTCCACAAAATGCCATCTTTATGGCTGAAGTGACTTTCAAATGCTTGTCGGCCATCGTCGTCAACACCATCGTCACGCCGTTTTTCCTTCTTGCAATTCTGCCCGTCGCTGTTTGCTACCTGCTGCTGCAACACTATTACCTGAGAACCTCAAGGTGATTGAGCAGTGAGACCCAAGGTGCTTTAAATGTAGCCAATTAACAGCCCAGAGCGAGAGCCAGCAAAGAAATGCACATCATATGGACGATGTGCTGCTTTTCATTCCCAAATGCTGAAAAATGTTGGCTGCCGCTGATTTTCAACAGGAGCGTGCACTAGAGCTGTATCAAATATCTATGAGATTGAGGAATTGATGGTGGGGGCGTCAACTGGGAAAAGGTGATAGTCATCTGAAAAGTGGGCTTCCATGCATATATCTAAAGCTGTGTCTGTGATTAGCATGTGCCCACCACGACATGCATTTGAAACAAACAAATTAATGCGAACTTTCGAACACAGTTCTAACGTTAATGCTTTTCATATTTATCATCACAATGCATGTTAAGAGGAGATAGTTAGTTTAAAAGTGTACCTCAAGTCATGTGATGTGTGGAGGTTTGACGGACCATGGTTGATATTGGATAGAATTTGTGCACAAGATTGATGTGTTCAGTGTGTGCACTTGCACAGACATGACAGATGAGTCGGTTGCTCATCCTTTGATTCCTGGTTTTATTTTCCATCAGGGAGCTACAGAGGCTTGACAGTATCACCAAGTCACCGATCTATGCCTATTTTTCTGAAACCTTGAGTGGACTGTCGACCATTCGAGCATACAAGTTAGTACATAGCTTCGTGCAATGTAACAGTATAAAGCACCACATTTGCACCTCCTGAATTACATTTGACCAGGTGTTAAATGATGTCAACAGACTGGATAAACATAATTTTCTTGGGGTTCCCACGGTCATGGAAACTCCTGGAAAAAAGTTGTCCTGGAAGGTCATGGAAAAGCCATGCATGGAAACTAATGGGAAAAAATAGGGTGTCCTGATTAGGACACCCTAAATCCTGTTGTAAGATGGAAAAAAAAGTCACAGAAAAGTCATGGAGAGGAAGATGAACATTTGACACCAGTAAGGATAAGGATACAGGCTATATCCTTTTGTCGATGGCAATTAATGGAAGTCCTCCTGTACCAAACAGTATATCTTCTCTATGCAACATGGCATTAAAATGTCAGAGTTTGTATATGTTAAAGTCCTGGAAAGGTCCTGGAATTTGGTTAACAGATTTCTGTAGGAACCCTGAATCTAGCTGTCATGACTTGTCGTCATGAGCAGTGCTGTAAACTTGCATGACTACAAGTCATCCAGGTCCTCGGTGTGTCACCCGTGGACATTGCAAGGATTTTATTTGTGGGTAGGGCAGGAGTTTTTCAAGAAAGGGGGTCAATTCTAGAGTATTTCCAAGCAAGTTGGAATTTTTTTACCCTGAAGTTTTCTTCTTTCTCCTTTTTCTTTTCTTTTAATTTTTTTCGGGGGGGGGGACAAGTGTCCCCTTTGTCTTCCCAGCTGTCAGTGCAAATGGTGTCATCTACAATCGCCTCTTGAGTCCTAATTTTGAGAGCTCTTACCAGCATTTCCTTTGTACCTGCAGGGATGAGGAACGATTCCAGAAGAATATCTTAGATGCAATTGATAGGAACGTCCTGGCAGTTCTCAACCTGAACACCTGTAACCGGTGGCTGGGAGTGAGACTGGTAAGCCCAGTTCTAGTATTTCTTTTAAAAGACTTGAGTACCCCTGACACCTCAATAGTGTGGAACATCTGACCTTGACTGTTTGCAGCTGTTCTGAACCTCTGACACCTTCTTGTTAGACCAGTCCCCAAGAAGGGGCCTAAGGGTCCCCCCCTGCAGGAAGCTGGCCCCCCATCAATAAAAGACATCCTCCAATGTAGCCTCCCCAGCTGATACTGTGACCCCCCTTTAATCAATGCTTGAAGCTGGCAACAGGGCTGCTTCTTGTATTTTTCACTTTTACTGTCACCTCAGTCAAAATGGCATTTTGTAATCAGTGCATGGCTGGTGAACCTGTTGGCTATTAACCTGTCTGATTTCTTTGCAGGATTTCATCGGCAGCCTGATTGTCCTGCTTGCTGGCTTGACTAGCCTCACCGTTGCCGTCACCTCATCAACGTTAGCACCAAGCTACGTTGGGCTGGCCCTGTCGTATGCACTGTCTGTAAGTGAACATTTTATTGATACCAGCGCTCAATAAACTCCACAAGCTGATACGAGTCTGAATGAAGAGAAAATGTGAATGATCCTTACCTGACTAATGGTGCCAAGAGTTCGATAATCAAGAAACATCATTCTACGGTATTTAAGGGTAATGCATGAACTTGGGACCCTATGGAAGTAAAACAATGGGACCTGAGGACCTGAAAAAGAAACCTTGCCATGAAACGCAGGAAACATTTTTTAAAGCACAAATTACATGTAACGGTAAATGTGTTCAAATAGCCAATTCTTCCATTCCCAAAAAGGCTATTTTCAGTAGTCTTTGGACATAAATTTGAAATGTGGTTTAGCATTCCGACTAGCTTTGTGTTTCATTTCAAAGTTTTCCTCCCAAAGCCTTACAAAACCTTTTGCATTCTGTCTGAACAAACACTAAGTAATTTGTGAAGTTGGTTACAGACACCCATCCCCATCGGCTACAATACGTCGACAGCTAAGGGACTGAATTCGCAAGGGGTGAGACATAGCCTTGAAAACAATGTCCATCTTCATTGGCACAGGCATCTTTTTACTTAAACTGGTTCATCCGGTCGTCGGCCATGGTAGAGATGCAGATGAACGCTGTGGAACGCATCAAGCACTACTGCGAGGTTCCTACTGAGAATTACGAAGGTAAACCTGCACAAATCAGGCAGACTGAAATCAATTTCATGCGTGGACAAGGGTAGGTGTCAAGCAGTGACCTCCATTTGGGGCACTGTTAGCACAGTGCCTGGTATGATTATTGGCTTTGAGTATGCACATGTCATTTTCCAACGATTGTGTTCAGGGGCATAAGTCCCAGGGAATTTGGGACATTGATATGAAATTATCCAAAGACTTGGCAGCGATAATGGACCTTGCCTTCCACTTGTTCCATTATCATCCCCAAACCAGCTAGCTGATTTTAAACGTACACCATGCAGTTTAAAGTCACCCCATCACACTTTTATTCCCTAAGACAAACTCAAAACGATAGGAAAAGATCAAGAGATAATTAAAAGCGTAGAAATTTGAAGTTTTTGAGAAACCAAACCCCACAAAAAAATATTCAGGCTTGCACAAATTATTGAGGAATTTAGATCAGAAAGCGGAAACGTAAAACACAGTGAAATGATTAACGAGATTAATCTTGAGCAGGCAAACAAGGCGAACGTACTCAAGCTTACAACAGTTGGAAGTTGCAAATCGAGGAGTCGGTTTTTACAAATAGGTCTGCCATTGTGGACATGTAATCAACTTTGCCTTTTTTCAGGCGAGCTGCCCAATCCATCTTGGCCAGAAGAGGGTGCAGTTGCCATGGATACCATATCAGTGCGCTATGCCAAGAACCTCGACCCCGTACTGGAGAGTTTATCACTTGACATTAAAGCAGGACAAAAGGTGGAACTTCTGTTTGAGCAACTGTCTTGAAAAGTCAGTTATAAGATGTTTGTTGAGGAGTAAGGTTTTTAGATGGCATTAGTATATCGTCCTTGGCATGATATCCCAATATGTCGGATCAGTTTTGCCAAGTACCAGCGTAGAACTAGAAGTAGCCTAGTGGTAGTTACAAACATGTGTTAGGCCTAATGATTTCTGGATCGGTGATATTTGTGGTGTCGCTTCAATATGAGGATTTTCAGAATGAAACCTAGATTTTGAGTTTATACAACTTTGCTGTCAAATCTTTCAAGACTTTGTGGAATTAAATGATGACTTAAATGTGTTGTTCAGATTGGTATATGTGGCAGAACAGGAAGTGGAAAATCTTCTCTCACTCTGGCCTTGTTTAGAATCGTAGATACATTCAAAGGTAAGTTGGGTTACTCCCCCCTTTGAAAAGTTACTTAGCCCTAACCCTGATGGCTTTTACAGAACAAAATGCATTTTTTCTTTGTCATGCTCAGAACATGAAGATATGCCATATATTGATGTTGTCATCCAAAAATTGACAAACTTTGGCTAACTTTCCGAGCGGTTGACCTGAAAAAAATGAATTTATCACTGTTGCAGAAATTGGCACTTAAACTTTGGCCATCATTTCAAATTTACTAGCAAGGACCCTGCTTGCTACTTTGCAAATTAACTTAAAGTCAAATGGTATAATAAAGCTTTATGTTGTAGCATGGGTGATTGACCTGTTTCAGAGACTTAATTTCCAATGTAATTTTCCACAGTTGTGGAGAATGTTGTTGACACGGTGTTGGTGAAGTGAGTTGCTCCTCAGTTTTTCTTTTTCTGTCAAGGCAAAATTGTGATTGACAGCGTGGACATTGCATCCTTGCCGCTGGATCATCTCCGACAGAAACTGTCCATTATTCCTCAGGATCCCATCCTCTTCACTGGCACAATCAGGTGGGTGGAGGTTAGGAGAAGGACATGTTGAACAGGCCCAACTAAGCTCTGAAAAGTTACGCTATAGTGCCTTTATTTTTGCCTTCACCCATTCGACTTGGAATTCCTGCAGACTTTTCTTACAGTTTGGAAAGTTATTTCCTGAAAAACAAGTTACTGTGTAGAATCTGTTTTATTTTTTGTGTGTTTTTTTTAAGAATTCTCAATAATTTTCTCAAAATTATACCTCCCAAAATTGGTTATTTCCCTTCCCCGTCTACCAGACCCTGCAAGAATTTCTACCGAGTTTGAAAAAGTGTTTGTTATCAATGTGATGCTTTTTAGCGCTTGTAGAAAACCACTAAGGAAGTACTATAATTTTTCAGGTTTAGTAATCACCCTTTTCGTGATTACCATTCTCACAAGATGACTATGGCTGACACTACAAATTACATTTTGGGTTTGACACGTTTGAAGCTGAGCTGGGCAATTTCACAGTAGATTCTAAGCGCTGTTGGTGTTCACCATACAGGTTCAATTTGGACCCACTGGGTCAGTGCAGCGAGGAGGAGCTGTGGAATGCCCTGGAGATAGCACAGCTCAAGGCTACGGTGTCTGAGATAGGCCAAGGATTAGGTGAGTCCTACCTGGGTCTGAGGCAATGCTTGATAGATATTAAGAGTTGACTATATCCATCTCAATGGAATGAGGTATTCATTTGTTACTTTAATGGCATGACAGTGACAAAGTATTTGAGGAAACAGAGTTGTAAAGTGCTGTTAGTATTAACATACAAAAAGAAAAGCACATGGGAATTTTTCTGAGAAACCGAAACTTAATTATTCATAAAAGATGTCCAAAACATGTGGAAGTGGTAAATGACCTCACTTCAACAGAATTAAATTCCAACATTCACTAAATGAGGGCCATTATGTTTGCGATACCATTTAGAATGACCAAAAAGTCAATAAGAGAAGTCAGCTCTTGCAGAGTCTTTAAGAAAATCTGTATAGGTCATTGTTTGGAATGAAAAAAGTCAGGGAAGCCTTGGTATCTAGAAAGCTTTTCTGGTGGCTCTGAATCCAGAATCCCAGGTCTCAGAAGGGGGTGAGAACTTCAGTGTGGGCCAACGCCAGTTGTTTTGCCTGGCCCGGGTGTCCTGCGGAAGTCACGCATCCTCATCATGGATGAGGCGACAGCATCCATCGACATGGAAACGGTAGGTTATTCAGTGACAGGCTGGCACTCTCATACTTTGAACCTATACACGACATCAGCTTTTCTCCAAGGGACATTATTTCCTGTTGAGGTCAATTTCTCTATTTTCAATCAAGATTCCCCCTCCCTATCCTTGCAGGATAACATTGTTCAGAAAGTCGTGGCTGAGGAGTTCAAGGATCAAACGATACTTTCTATAGCTGTAAGTACCACAAAACTTTACAAGAGCATCAGTTTGAAGTAGTGTTGTGATATTCATTAAGCTTTGAGGGTCTGTTGGGAACTTTTCCTATTTTCCTTCAGGGTCAAATATCATGCTGTTCCTTGTTAGGGATACCAGTCATCTTGCCAGAAGGTTTTGCTCTAAAATTATTTCTGAAGATTTAGTGGCAGTATTTGGTTGCATTGCTCAGTGGACTGTAAACAAGAAATAATCATTCAATCAGAACACGATGCATTTGAATAGGTTTACTCAACATGCCTTACCTTTTTGTTCTGATATTTCCCCTTGAACTCCCTGCACTTAGATTGCAATTCAGCTCACCCAAAATACAAACATTATTCAAATTGTTTCTTATGTCACATTTTTCTCAAAAATTCTCTTGTTTTAGTTCAAACACAATGATTTACCAAATCCCCGAAAAAAACAGATCCATTACCTTAATATTTGTTGGATCTCTCTCAACTGTTTAGTAACTTCACAGAGTTTAAAAACAACCTTGTTCACCTAGCGAGGTTTTTCCAACATCAGTGGTGGGAAATGTTAATCTATCCCCATAATTTTCTCATTGGGAGTTTTGAATTTAGCAGCACTAGAACCTAATAGAGCAAATGCCGAAACATCACCTGTCAACTTTCCAGGAGCGTCTTGTGTATGGCAGAACCTTTTCAGATGTTGTCCTGGAAAAATGTGCCCCCTTGCATGGTAACCAGCCCAGAGGTTTGAGCATTTGAAGGTACCCTCCTGATGGACGCAGGCCACAAATCTGAGTCTCGGTTTTTTTGTTTTATATGCAGCACCGAGTAACAACCATTCTGAATTCAGACTGCATTCTGGTACTCAATGAGGGCACTGTAGCTGAGTACGACACGCCTGAGAACCTCCTGGCTCGGGAGGACAGCTTGTTTGCATCGCTCGTCAGCAGTGCTCACCAGTAATTCAGTGTTGGTGCCAACTATGGAGGTTCGGTATAAACTACACAGAATCTTGTTGGGTGTGGCATAGAGGCCATGTAGAGGGTCAACCTATTAGGACACAAGCAGGGTGTGTTAACAAAGCTGGATGCCACAACAGTAACAAAAGGCACTGTTATACTCTGTGTTTCTGACTTTGGCTTATAGGGACTTCCGCATAGTCTTCATAGCCTCTGCAGAGGAAGCAAAACTGTTTAGAGATTGGACATGCTCTGCAAAACTTGGACTAAAACCTAACTATTGAGTTCTCTGGATAAATGGAAAGATAACTTTTACTTTGGTGTATAATAAACCTCTCTACTACAACAGTTCTGTTATGTCTTGTTCTGTTTTTCCGAAAATTATCGACAAATGTCACTGGAGAAAACAAGCTTTGAAAAATATTACAAACTACAATAAACAGAAGAAATGTTCTTGTTTAACCTTGAATTATGCAATTCTTTGTGTGTCAGTAACTTATAAAAATGTCAAACATAAAAAAGATCAAACCAAACCAAACCCATCGAACCATAATCCAGACAGTTAAGTTGGAATCCCATATGCCTGACACCAGACCGGCTTTTCTGGTGTGAGCCTTCCATGTCAAGATGCTTTGGTTTTGTAGCATATTCCTATGTATTCGTTGCTGGAGTATAAGAGTGATCACAGCGATGAGATTCCATTAGATGACGTATTTTTATGTATACCATCTCACAGTACTGAAATTTTAAGTTAATCTCAGGTAATAATATAATTTGTTTTATCATTTGTATACATAAAAATTATTTAGAGTTTCATTTATTAACATGGCTGATTCTTGCTGTGGAAGGCCTGTAAATAAAAAACAAATCTCTGAAGACATTATATTTGTAACTTTGTTTCTTTTGTAACTTGTAAACAGCGCCTTATTGGTGAATGTGCATACGTCGATGTAGCTAGATCAGCACTGATATTTTCTTCTGAGTCAATACAAGATCTGACGCACCCACGGACCCTCCCCCCCAAGAAATAGACGGGCCATCTTTACCCAAAATATTTGCAAATTGTCTGAAACAAAGTCTTCAGAACAGACATGGGACCTTTTCCAGAAGTCGTGATTTTCCAGTCGCTCTCGTAGCAATTACATCATTGTATCAGAGCCTACAGTTCCGACAATTCCGGTGCTCACTAATACCACTTAAATGTTTTCCTTGTCTACAAGTATATAGTATGTTCAAATTCCAAACTAAACTGGTTTTGACTGCGGAAAAATCATCCTCCCGCTGTAAAAGAACATAACTCATTAGCCAGCAATCGATCTTGAATGTGCGCTTGTCTAACGACAGGACTTTCCACCGCAAAACTGTGGCAAGATTATGGTGGACTCGTGTGAGGACACGGACTTTGAAGGGATTCAAATGCCTCAGTGTTACAACACAAGATATCGGCATGCACCTTCATGGTTCCTAGTCTATTGAGGGTTGCGTGCCAGTAAAAAGGTCGAAAATTGCCTGAATCATGATTTGTAAGCTTTCAAGTTCTCTGCTATTAGAGCATTTCGAGACACGTGGACTGGGTGGTTTGTTAACATGGAGGATGTAATCTCCCTCCAAATCGCTTTATTTTGCAATGGAGTGCAGGCATCAATTTTCAAAATGGCGATGGGCCCCATGACTGTTTTGAGGGGAGATTTTCTCTGGAGAGCAATATCTTCAAAAGTCAGCTGTTAAGTCACTAAAAATTGAAAGGAAAATGAAAGATGAAGTGAGCTTTAATTTGATATGTGTCTTGCACCCCTGTGAAACTTGTGATATTTCTCCTGATTGTTTGAAGTGGGGATATTTATCACTGTTGTCTATGACAGCTTATTTACTGGTCTGTATACCCTAAAGGTTCCCGTACTAAAACAACAAACTATTCTGGGCACTGTGAGCATTAACGTACTGCTGCTAAGAAGAAATGGCGCAATTTCAAGGATCAGAGGGTTCGTGTAAGATGTAACCACCACATATACAACTCAACCTCAGAACTCAATATACAAATAATGCGTGCTTATTTATTTAAGTGTAGAAAAGAGTACATGTACATGTACGTCAATTCACTGCTGCCTGTAACTTCACTTTAATTGATACGAAGAATATTGTTTTATCAAACATTATACTCGATGCAGTATTTTGGTAGAGGCCTATCTTTGAAAAGGTGATAGAATAATCTTGGCTAATTACAAGGTCAAAGCTTTTTAACTCGGTGGAAGTTTAGCGTTTAGTTGTTTGTGAATTTGAAAACCGTTAATCAGGACTACAACTTGTGTAATTCGTCAAAGATTTGCTGAACTTCTGCAAGGGCTGATAAGATTGGTCAATAGGGGCCTACGTATACGTACGGATTCTCTTCCTCAAAGACTGTCGAATAAACGCACTTACTGAAACATCAAAGTTCAATTAAATATCGGTATTCATGTTAAAATATGGCATGAAAATTCTGAGGGCTAATAAATATGCAGTTACATTGCAATCGTTAAATACAATTGCACGGAAAGTAAAATGATGGGCCGATATTGGTCATTTAAAAATTAGGTCAACATTATAAACGTACTAAAAATTACCACTATTCTGAATGTAGTCATTTCACATTCATTTTGAATTACAAAGTAAAGTTTAACACTGTAAGTGTTTGCCCTCGAAGGCTTGTGTGAAAAAAAAACACCAGCGTACTCGGCAGTGTAATTGTATCTGATGGCGCAATCAAAACGCTAGGTGTAGTCGATGACATAATTACAAGCTCACAAACTGAACGCACTGCATCCATGTAGGCCAGCAGGTATAAATTCAATATTGCTTTAACTATTTAAACTAAATCATTGAAACACAATTAATTGTATATGCATAGCGAGTGTAATATTCAACCTAACACAAAATGAACAGTGAGAGGGTATAATATAGTAACTAATGATTATAGATGAAACGCTTGGGGCGCCTTTCCATATGTACGTTTTTGGGTGCGTTGCGTACACGATGCGTTCATGCGTTTCACTTCCACGGACACAAAAATCGACCCCTAAACATAACACATGTGTTGGTTGCGTTCGGCCGTCAAAATCGCCAAAGAGCCATTTTGACGGATGTGCAACGCTTGGCGCAAGTGCTGACGCGCATTAGGCCTATGGAAAGGCGCCTTTAGACATGAAGGAACAATGAAATAAAAAGTGTAATAACGTCAATCTAAAAACATGTTACAGTATAGGAAATGGAGACCATTGGCAATGGGTGGTCCTATCTCTTGGTATTTGTAGATAGTGTGAGTTTCTTAGATTACGCCTTGACGCTAATCGAGTGTTGGCAAGAGTTGATGGCAATAGTCGGGGTGACTTGGGCAGTGATTTGGCAAAACAATTTGATTATGTCTGACCTCAAGATTGTCCAGTTTAGCTGTTACATCCCATATGGCAAAGCATTAGGCAGGGCCACTCCAGTGATGTTTGATTCCCACACTGATCCTGCGAACTTTAACATTGGTCGAATGTTACAGCTTATAGATGATGACAAGGTTCTCAAGCTGTGCTCCGCACGTGAAGTTTACTGAGGGCAAACACCAAACAGTCGGCGGGTGGACTTGTTGGTTACACTTCAGTCACTCATGATGATAATACCCAGACGTTTTGTTCCTACTCAGCACCACTTTTCTGTTTTAGGTCAGTTTTATTTGTGATTTGCAGAAATGTTATAGTTGGGCTGAAAAGTAGATTTTTGGTTGTGGATGTGGCAAACAAATAAGGCTTAGGCATCTCTGTCGCTTGAACATTTGCACCGGATCATGGCTCGCAACACAGGCCCCAAGTGTGGATGCTTAGCGGCATAAAGGAGTGGATTTGTGCAGTTGCTGACCAACAGGAACATTTCGCCGTAAAGGTAGAAACGGGTGCTCTTGGCGACCATCATGATGGCTAAGGGCGCAAAGGAAATCACGAAGACCAAGATGACGATGGAGAGGTTCTTGGTAACGGCAAGTTGGTCCCTCTTGATACGATGGCCCTGATCAGAGCTGTGTGCTTGTTGAAGTGGCAAAGTAGGTGTATGACTATGGGCGTCACAAGCTACGGGTTCACCATCGTTTGGCTGTGTGGACCTACCTGTGCTTTTATCAGTTGAGTAGAGAGTGTCGTGTTCTTGGCGCCTGTTGAAATGACGTCTGACGTGTCGCCAAATCAGGAGGTAAGAAACGAGGACAACACATGAAGTCGGGAACAAAACTGCTAATTGAATAACTTTGTATGTGTCAGCTGCTGGATGAGTTGTATTTACTGTACAGGTGCGGGTCATTGAATCGAAGCCGAATTCACCGATACCACCGAATGGGGGTATAATACAGGCGCATAAAGGTACGAGCCAGGAGCCAAGGACCATCAAGGCAATCTTATTACGTGTGTACAACCACTGGTAGGTCTCCTTGGGCTTGGTTACTAATATGTACCGGTTCAGAGCAATGTTGACGAGGCTGTACAGGCTGCAGCCTACGGTCAGGTGCACCAGAACAGCTGCCATCACACACGGGACGTCAGACTCCAGCGGGAAGCCTGGAGTAGTGCTTACCATACCCGGCACGCTCCAGAGAAGAGCAAAACTGCCTAGGCAATCGGACGCGCTGAGGTTGGCCACGAACGCATTAGTAACAGTCCTGATTTTCTTGGTCCTGGCCATAGCAACCAACACCAGGCTATTGCCGATGATTGCAAGGATTATCAGGATAGAAAGGACGACAGAAAGACAGGTGAACTCGATGTGGGTGTACGGCGCATTAGATGAGGAACTAAGAGTTGAGTTCAGCCGATGAGGGGTTGATTCCACCTCTGGAGTGGTGTTTAACACGAGAGCCGACTCCTGGAACGTTATGTGCGAGGAATACGCCATTGTTTTGGCTGCTGGTGATTCTAGTGATGAGACGAATGTGTATTTCGTTATACCGTCACTCGAGTCCACAATTCTCGATATTGGCACTCCACGTCAAGGCATTGTGTAGGCCCCCTATATGTCCCCTGCCTTTTTATCTTTTTTTTTGTGGCGGAAATTGTCGAACATAAATAGTACGGGACACTAAATGCGTCATTTCCAGGTCCCCGTGCCAAGAAGTGCATTTTCAAAAGTACAAAGCCTGTACCTAGAACAGCACTGAATATCCGGTGTGATGTAACGTCCGCTCTTTCGGGTATTAATACCAGGAATCTGGTGTTTTTTTCCATACGACGCACGTTATGTCAGCAATCCTATAAAACTGCTGAACATAGGTAGTTCCTTTTAAACGTGAGTAAAACAATAAATGCAAATTAAACTTATATTCCTCGTAATTCCTCAGCATTTCTCCAGAAGTTAAATCACAGGGAATAAACTGAAATCTCTGGGAAAATAGGATATTGCTGATGAAAAAGGGCGGCTTATTGACAAAAAGTAAAAAAAAAAAGTTGGGTGGATCGGAATACTACACGCAGCTACCTACACAAACACAGCCAGAGCTCCATCATAATGTCACCTGGATCAGCCAGCAAAAAATGATAATTCTATTCAAAATGACTTTGCATTACACCTTGTTTACAACGGCCCACCACACACACACACACAAGTGTGTTTCTGCCTGCAATTGGGGACCCAGTATTGTTCCTCTTTTGTTTGTACTTCAACTTTTTTAGAAGATCACCCATAAATTTTTGTACACAGTTTTCAATCGGGGAACCTCTGTCAATCGGGGACCTTATTGTCCTCTATTGTTCAGGGTCTCCAATTGAATGCAGAAACAAACTTCATACCACTAACGAACCGGTAAAATACTAAGCAATGGTGTATTGACAGCAAACACGACTTGTTGACGATTTCAACAAGGAGGGGACATCTGAACTAAACTTGTGCACAAAATGAACATAAACTCTAACCATAGTTTTGGCTCTATTACAATACTAATACGTACTAACTTTACATCTGCCATTTTAGGATGACAGAATCAATAACATGGTACACACAACAAATCCGATTTTGGGGTCTCCAAAAGCCCACCCCCCGGCGGCGGAAGCGGGCCCCTCCCCCACTTTTTCGACCGGGGCATGCCCCTCCCACTTTTGCAGGTCCTATGAGCTGAATTGATCAGCCTATTAATGACTGATGCCTGATGGTCTCACAATAGCCACCCCACTTTGAAAATCGTTCCGCCACCTGTGCTCCCAGAAATTTGGATTTGGATCCGCCGTTGACGAGATTTATATCTTGCAAGCTAGCAAAGCGTACTTACTATAAAATTGAATATTCCTTTCAGGCACTATGTATGATCTCGTCCGCATGAGATAGGCCTAGTCATCATGATGTGCGGATGTCGAGCGGGAAAGATGTTGATTTACATAAAATGCGAGCAAAGTACATGTGCGTGCGCTTGACCAGATGAGAATGGGTAATGTAATGAACCCGTTTGAAGTGGAACACTGTTAGTCTCAAAGAAGACGTTGTGGTAGCTATGGCCGATGAAGCGGTTGAACTGCTGGAATGTAAGAGACACTAGTGGACACCAGTCGAATGAATTCTGTTAATTTAGATACTTTCTTTACTCCGTGAACTCACGTATACTTATATAGGCCTATCAGTTATGTTAGATTGGCACCTCAGAACAGATCGAGGTCTGAAACAAATTATGGCTATGTCTAGGTATATAAGACAGAAGATCTGAGATAAAGTTTGAGGTCTAGTCTATGATCGAGGCCTAACACCAGTTCTGTTTACAGTAAGTCATATACTCCCATCGCGTGAAAAAGTCCGAGTCAAAGACGGAGGTATCCAAGTACTTTTCAACTTGCTCAGGGCCGGGGGATGTAGTCGAACTTACGCGGATCGGAGCGGGCTCGATAGACTGCTTGAGGCCCTATCCTAACAATTTCAAGCTTCCTACAGGCGGCTGCGCCTGTGCACGAAGATTCTCTCTCAAGTAGGAAAAATAACCTGATGCGAAATATTCGAGATCGTGTGAAAAAGAAAAAGAGGCATTTGTAATTTCTGTTTGGAGGCCGAATGACAATAATGTCTCGTTCTCGGCGCTCTGCGGTTTTGCTTTGTGTCCCAACCCATACCCGTGGACACACTGGTCGGGTGTGAGACCTTACAAAAGCGTTGGGGATAAGCACTCGATTTTAATGCGACACAAAACAGCCGTCAATATTTGGATAGATAATGTACCAGATGGGTGCCCTCACAGAATGCTGTGTGTTTCAGGCGCGGCGACAAGGAGTCTAGGTATCACGATATAATAAGTGAAGTTGGCCGGCTGGCTGGTTGAGTACTTGATGCGATCGTTTCCTTCCCCTCTACGATCCTTATGATGAAAAGGGTATGAAAAGCAGTAGACGTTTATCTTGGAAAATTCAACGCTGTTAACTCTGGTCAAATATTGGGGTATTGTATATTTTGGAACCTCCATTTATAACGCTAATTAAGCCAACAGAAAGTGGTTACGTTTTAAAGAGTCAAAGTTAGCAGTGTACGAATTGAAGGCTTGCTTTTATGTAGGAAACATCTAGAATTTGTGAGACCATTCTCACAGGGTTCATGCACACGGCGCGGTGTCAAGCAATGTCCTTGTTTAACAACCGTGATATACTCGCCAGATCCCTCATTTTACCACTAAAAATAATGAGACTTGACAGTAGGTGGTGAAATGATGGACCTGGTGACTATATGGTCACAGACGATGGAACTGTCTGAGTTTTTGTTTGTTTGCATGCTTTTGGATTTTGTGACGTTGCTTTTTCATTTTCAGATTTGAGCGACTATTGAACCAGGTTTGAAAGGCCATCGCTTGTAGCATCATGAAGAAGCAACAGGTTCTGGATTGTAGCTTCTCTTCCTGGTACCCAATCTTCAAACACATCACCATCGACAGGTAGCAGACGATTTGCCTGCCTCTATTTTGGAGGGATTCAAAAAACACTTCTGTTTTGTTTTTTGTTTTATTTTAGGACATTCAAGTAGGCTACCCCTGTTTTTTTGGGCCCATTTTATTTGTGAACGTAAAGTATCTGATGGAAAGTTCCGATACATGTCAACGTGGGTGTAGCAATTCTGACATTTTTAATTGGGGGATATTTTTCAGTAATTCTACCATAATTTCCACTCAGTAGTCTTTGAGAGGATTGATGGACATCCAGCTAATTGAAAGATTTTTACAGCTTACCTTCAATCACATCCATTTCATGATGCTGATTTGTTTCTACAATGTACATTGCAGCCACGTCATCCCGCTTTCCAAGGACTTCCTAGAATATTTAGACGCAGATGGAATATACCTCCCTGCAAGGTACATAGTGAATCTTTGTGTAAATGGGTCATCCCATGAGATTGAGGCACAGTTTGTGATGGTGTCAATGTTACGTGGGTTCCATAAAAATGAACAGTTATTTCCCTGCATGTGGAAACCTAATTGACGTTGTTATACATCTTGCAAGGCTGAATACAGAGGGGTGTGTTATTTTTACAGAGTAAATGACCAACTCTACAGGTCATGACAGGTGGTAAAGTTACTGATGTAGCAAGGACATGGCCAGAAATTGTGCCCCAACCTCATCGTGAAATGACCCACCCAGCTTTGACTACCTGACACTTTTTTCTTGCAGAATAATGTACAAAACCCCACCCTGCAATAAATACATCCTTATGAACCAGTCCGCCGGATAAGGACCTCAGCTTTGCTCAAAGTCACTGGCTGGGGCTGCACACTCTCAGTTGCCTCAAAGAAGACTGAGGGAAGATCCATTATAGGCTCTTCAGAGTGACTATTTAATCGCATGCTAATTGACCAAAATTCTCTCTAAATTTGCTGCATATTGGTTTTCTTCTTCACAGTTGTTTCAAAATGATTTATAAAGAAAATGAAATTGGAATCGTTTCGATCACGATTAACAGAAATTTGTTGCCAAAAAGATGCTCAATTCAAAGAACTTCAGTTGCCTCTCCTAGAAAATTTGTTGACTTCTATTCTCATCTATCTTTTCATTTCTTAGATTTAGGGTTTGTTAAATTGAGAACAGTGGTTATAACACTAACCCTTTTCTTTGCAACCTCAGTCCCAACGATGAGCCCAGCAATATTATCGAGGAAGAGGAGGAGGACGGCAACCCAAGCAAGATTCCTTCGTTCCCAGGGCTGGAAGAGTCCATCAGGGCAGCCATTCAGGACCTCGGTGGCAGGGTTTTCCCCAAGCTCAACTGGAGTGCACCCAGGGTGAGGGACAAGGTTGAATCACTGTTCTCAGAAACGCGCGTCAAATTTTGCAGGGCCCCTGGGTATGCAGGAGGAAGACGCACTTGTCTTGGGTGCAGTCTTTCCCTTACCCTCAGTTGTTGCAGGAGTCTTTAGATGTGAAGTATCTATTGTCCAAAGTGGGTAGTTGTTGAAAGCCCTATGCTGTTTTTGTAGAAAATAACTTCCAACTACTATTGCTAACTTGAAGGACACACTCTGAGCACCTCAAGTACACCACTCATCGATGTTGCCACAGAAACTATCGCATTGTTAGAATCTCATGAAAATTCTGACATTTGTCCGGGGTTGATTGTAAGTTGTTACTCTTCGCGTATTTTTAGTTGGCCACTGTAATGGTTCATGAATTCCATCATCAGGATGCATCCTGGATTGCTTGTGGAAACACGTTACAGTGTACCTGTGTCAACGATATCTTCCTTTTACTCAAGAGCTCGGATTTCATCACACACGACCTCACAGAACCGTGAGTACGCATGCATCTCAGTTGTAAGAAAAGTCACACCTGAACCTGTTTCCTAGCTAGAGGTGGGGATTTGAAAAATAGACTTCGCACTTTGAAAAGCCCTTTGAGTCCCGTACAAAGGGATGCACTTTGGAAATTTGTTTTCATTTCTTTGTAATGTTTCTTGTTTTTGTTTCTATGTTTATTGTATTTGTGAAAAAGACAGGGCGATTGTTTTTAGAGAGCATAACATAGACATATGAAACATGCATCTGCAGTCTGGCACAGGAAAATTGTTAGATTAAACCTTGTTCCTTAAAGGCCAGTTTCTGTAATGCACGACTCATTCCTGAGGTTTGGTGTGCTTGGTGAAGTTAAATTCATTCACCTTCATCAAAATTCACACAACATTTTTAAATTTTCTTCACCACAAAGGTTCAAACACTGCACTGACTGTGAACAGGGCCCGCAAGACACACAGTATGAGGTAAGAATTTGAAATGGAGGTTTGACCGGCATCAGATCTCTAGGACATACGTCTATGACATCGTAGTGTGCTTCGCATTTCGCTGTGTCTGATGAATGTTTTGATGTTCATTCCAGCTTGTCTTGCGGAGGTGGTGTGACATATCTGAAGCAACTGAGTTCCGTGTCTTTGTCAAGAATGACGACATCATCGGTACGTGCACGTTTCTCTTTAACTCCAACCCCTCCAAGGCTACTTTGGCTGGAAACCCTGCCAGGTCTATCAGACTGCATTTATTTGTCAATGATTGCCTGTCAAGTGTAACAAGATCCAATAGGTCAACTCTTTCTAAGGCCAAACGGCCTGGGAGTCTGTGGTTGCCGGTCACACCAAGATCCAACAGTGGCATTGCTCAATGGGATTAGCTCCCATCGTCTCAACATGGCCAGTTTGTTCGGCTGCTGTTGGGTGCCCAGTTCATCAAAGTGCATCAAATTTTTTCACCTGATGCACTGTGCTTACTTCTGGCAGAGTTAGGGTTACGAATGAAATATCTGTTAGAAATTACAGTTTTTGTTGTAAATGTGAAATCATGCTGCCTGAGATGGAGGAAATGCTCACACGTTGACAAAGTTATGAGTAATTTGGCATACTCCTACCCAGGTATATCACAGCGAGATCATACCAATTATTTCCCCGACCTGGGACCCTCGGCAGAGCAGATCCACGAAGAGATTGAGGATTTTCACGACCGCCACATAGCTGGGAACTTTCTGGACCATGACTGTGAGTAATTCGGTTCTCAACGCGCACAAATGCCTCTCGCAGGTTGTAACAAATACTTAGATCACTGAAGATGCCCAAACTCCTTTTGTTCAAATTCATCTGCTTGGGAGAGACCAAACAAGTTTCAGACTGGATTGCTTGTGGAAACACGTTACAGTGTACCTGTGTCAACGATATCTTCCTTTTACTCAAGAGCTCGGATTTCATCACACACGACCTCACAGAACCGTGAGTACCCATGCATCTCAGTTGTAAGAAAAGTCAGGCACACATTTGCATCGATCAAAATACAATATTTATCTTACAAGTTCAGCCTTTTCTTTCTGTCACAGATGTATATGACGTCTACCGCCAGGATAAGGTAATTCGTTTTCATTTCTTGTTTTTTCTCTGTTTGTTACGGTTTCTTTTTAGCTGGGGTTTTTTTTTTTTGGATCCAGGGGTAGTCTTTTTTACCTCTGGGAGAATTGAATCAGATTACATGATTGAAATTGGTTTGTGTTTTGCCTGTCGTCTCCAATAGAGGAAGTTCCTCCTGATTGACTTCAATCCCTTTGGCGAGACCACGGATTCCCTGCTGTTCAGCTGGGCAGAGTTGAATGACCTCGATGTCGCCAGCACCGACAGCCAGTCCTGGGTGAGCATACTAAATATTACAGAGGATTCTTACTTGAAGATAAGGTAACCATTCCATGACCCCCTCCCCCCAAAAAAGCTTCTCCTGTTGGCGAGAAAGCCCTCTACCCAAATCTCTCTTTCCAGAGGTGTAACTGGAGCACCTTTTTACAATATCATGTCACAACGTCAAAGATGCTGATCTTGGACTTGACCTGTGGTTGTTGCAGTAGCTATTTTGAAAAGAAGGCATTTGTTGTATATTCATTTAGAAATTCTCCCCCCCCTGCAAGGGAGTACTTTTCCAATGTGGTTATATCTCTTTAGATGCTTACAAGTCTGTAAAACGCTTACCACTCCTTTTTTTTCAGATTTCACTAATCTAGAGATACATAAATTTTAAGCTGGCTTGTGTGCTGTTCGTTACTACATGCTGCATTGTCCACAAGATAGTCATTGAGGCTCAGCTCTCATTCCACAGGTGTCTTGGCCCAGTTTTTTTTCACGGCCAAGTATCATGATGCAGCTCTTTATAATCTGATGCTGTATTGCGTCATTCTGGTGTCAGCTATTGACACATCCAAGAATCATCATACCTCAACTTCAGCCAACCCCAGCCCATCCCCACCCCTACTTCCTCCCTGCAAATTACCCCCGGAACCGTACTTTTACTGAAGCATTCCGTTTAGTTAGTTTTTGTCTAACAGATGCCAACCATCCTCCTCTGCCCGTTGTCCTCTAGGAGACTTTCCGCTACGTGCGCAGTGCCGCTGGCATCCAGCCTAGCCAGTTCCTCAGTTACCGCTACCCTGTGGACGTCCTCCACCTAACCACGGGCGTGGATGCCGACAGACTAGTTGACTTTCTCAGAACGGTGAGGATAAATTTTAACCAAAGCCACATTGCTTAATGGCAGTAGTGACGCCGATACGATTGTCAGTAGGCCCATGTTCTGGTGAGGTCATACTTTGTTACTTGTACGCTTTCCTGTGGAACTCTCTGCTATCCTTACCTGGCTCCTTGAATAAAGAACACTTGTACTCAGTACGTGACATCATCAGCACAGGAACCTATTGTGACACCCTACATGGATGTGTTATGCCCCGTGTCCCCCCCACCGTGTCACCACTTTTAATTACGTGATAATTGTAATGACTTGATTTCAGTTGACAGTTGGTCATGGTGGCCTCTTGGTCATAAGGGGCCTCTTCTTATTGTAGCAAGCCAGTCCTTGCTGCCCGTGGCGGTCGTAGCAGTTTGCGCTGCCGTGACGGTTGTAGCAGTTTGTTCATAGTAGCCTCTTGTAGTCAGAGTGGCTATCTGATCGAAGTGGCCAGTGGCTCATGGCTGCCACTGATTCATCCAAAGACGGAAGCCAGTAGATGTAGTGATCAGAAACAAAGATTTGCTCCTGTAAAAAATCATTATAGTAGCCAAATTTAACATCTTACGATGGGCATTGCTCATGGCAGGGTTCTCATCACATTGTAGCAGAAGGCCTGAAGGGGCCGAAATGTACGTTGCGTGAAATAGCAGCACACTGTCTAGACATTCCACCTTCTTTGTAAGCCAGACCTAACATCCTTAATAACACATCTCTTCTTGGTTCTTTATTCTGGTTGGCTGGAATATGGTCACTTTGGGTTTGCTAAGTCAGCGTAAACTAGACCATGTCAAGACATCATGCGCCATTTTGACACATTACAGCGTCCACAATTATGAAACCCTGAAAAGATTTCTCGTTTGATATTTCAGATAGAGGATTTTAAGACACAGATGTTACTGACATAATTTGGTTGATAATTCACATCTACTCTCCCCCTTTGACCTCTGGGTGACCCGAAGAGGGATCTTTTTCCCTCGGCTGCATAGACCTTCACTAGTGACCTCATTGGGAGTTCATGTGTGTATATTAGTTACCCTTTCCTGCATTGTTGGTTTCTTGGAATCAGGAAATGCAGAAGCCATACCAACAAGAGCCGACCACCTCAACTCAGGATGACAGCAACAGCGTGCAATTTGAGGATCTGCCAGAGAAATGAGGCTGTCACTTACCGATAAAGATGCAAGTCATTTGGCCTTGTTAGATGTATGCAGTAAGACAAGGACATAAAGTGTGTGTGTAGGCCCGGCATTGCCTCTGACGTTCATGTATAAGGTCAGTGAACGTCAGCCATATGCCGAGTCTGACATGGATCCTGGATTGTTTGTTCTGGCTGAACGCCTACTTGATAACAAGACAAAGCAGACTGTGAGGGGCTCCGAGGGAGGACGAGTTGCCAGCCAATGCAATCACAGGCTGCATCCGAATTCTTGTGCCTGGAGCTAGGTCTAGGTCTTCCCGGTACATGCTGACAACAGAGGTAGCCGTAGTGCCAGAGGTCCATCTCTGACACTGCTTGAAAAGCTGTTCCTTGCCGTCACACACCAGGACCAGAGCTGTTTGTTGAGCAAGTTGCGACATGAGTGTCTCATTTGTTGGAACCAAAATGGTGGATTATGCATCAGAGCACATGGGTGATTAGCACACCTAGCTGCATGCTGTACTGCACACATATACCAACAGCCATTTTGTTGCCAAAGTCTGAAGTTGTCACTACAGCTCTGACTAGGTCATGTCTATCTCATCCGTGGATCTGTGTATTCCTTGAGCCATGTCCAAGTCAACTGGCTGTGACTAGGTGTAACTTAAATCTGTGGGATTTACATGCAGGCACTAGCCAACAACTTCCGGTGGGCACAAGTGTTATTTTCAGCTGTAACTATAAGCATTACATAGCCTTGTCTGGGGAAATCATTTAAAATTTGCACTGTGAGCGGTCACTGTGAGAGGTCACTCAGCATGAGCAGTGAGCTTCACGGATATCTCCTCCTGAATAATCATAAGTGTGATCCAGCATAAACTATTAGTGATCTACCAACAATCCATCTTTATTTTTCTGAATAAAGAAATAACACCACGAAGGGGTTCGTTCTTTGTGCATTATTTATTACATAAACCAGTCTATAAAAAGTGAGTTGTGGTTTAATTTGAAAAAAATACAGAACACTGGAAGTGTTTGTTTTTAGTTCAGCCAGGCAGCTTACTTTTCTAATGTCGTTAATGCACTGTTATAGAATTGCATTCAATGGACCCATTTTAATGCATTACAAATAAGAGTTGTCACCACAATACGAAATAACTTGCATCCAAAATGACCCAGTACCAACACTTTGTGGGCCAAACATGCAAAAAGACTGAAAAACGTAGTGTTTAACAATACAGATTACCGCTGTTACATCAGATGTTAAAAGTCCTTTTTACACAAGTAAGGAATCATCTTAGCAGGTGGAATACTGCTGCATGTCATAGGAATCAGTATTGTTATGCCCATTTTGGGGCTAATGTCGTTGAGCTGATGAAGTTTAGAGCATATGATTTGATAAGCCATGAAAATCTTTGCTCAGCAAATGCTGGTCACCAGCTGAAATGTTTTGCACTGCATGCTTGTTATGACTGGTTCTTCACTGGTGTTTGTTTAGCACATCAATTTGCTTAGCGGTATGAATTTAGGCTCTGACATAAACATGTCTGTATTAAGAACACATCAAATACGTGACTGGCTCCTACAAAATGAGTTCTATGGCCATTTTCTCAGTAACTATGGTCTAGTGTGGATCATAAAGAGGAAACTAAGCTCTTTTATTTGATGAATCACTCAGTCTGGCATCCCGAGGACAATGGACATTATGTGGATGAAAAATGTTCAGGGTTCCTACTCGTTTCATTGTGCAAGATTCTTTCAAAGGCCTTTAACTCAAAGTGGCTCAGATGACTCAAGATTCATTTTGTTGGGCTGGGTCACACACAAGTACGTTGAGACACATTAGGAATAGCTGCCGCACATTCCATTAGGAGTAATCTGAAACACGAGCACCTCAAAGAGATAATTAAAGTCATTTAGTAGATTGTTGTCCAGCCACTTTAAGTAAGCTGTGTTTGCTGTGGATACCCTGTGATTCTTAGAGGTGAGATTGCCGAGAAATTGCTCGTATTTTTTTACAAATATCTCTACAAATGCCTCACATTTCAGCTAAAAAATATCCAATATAACATATATCCACAAAATTCTGACATCTAATAGAGTGCTTCTTAGTATATGTTCTATTCCTAAAAATGAATGGAATTGTCTTAATTTTAAATGCACTAAAAACTGTAATGTAATTGCATGACCTTTGTTGTAAAGTATTGCTTTTGAATATTACACACAAGCATAAACATTTAAAAAATCCTGACTACTTCAAACAATAAAAAAAAGAAATTGCAGTTTCAGTATTCAATTCACAGAGTTCATTGCAGATAAATGTAAACATGAAATTTTACATGCACCCTCACGTGAAGTTAGACTTCCCTGAAAACTTATTTATTTCAATTCAAACTTGAATTTTTATGTGAATTGCAAATAAAAGCATTTACAAAAGTTATCTGAGAAATTCTTGGTTGTAATTATGAGTTGCTCACCTTGAAAAATACCATCTGTGAATACTAAACCCAAATATTTATCAATTAATATGGTATGAATACAGTACCCTCAGATTGGATTTAAAGAATTCCAGAATATCTAGAATTCAAGAGAACTAGTTCATTTCTTACTCTAATAAATAAATGCACAAGGCTTGTGAATATTTTAATGGTATGTACATAAAAATAAAAAAGTCAACTTTTTAACTCTGTACAGTTGTGCATTAATGAAAACATATATTGTGCAGAATACTTGCTCTTGTGTAATAAAAATCAACCTGACCAGATAACTTTGGGCAAATTCCAACTTGTTTCAGTCAGTCTTGTTGTAAGAAATGCTTGCATTTTAAGCATCATCCAATTTATACTATTAATAACCTCTGATTGATCCCAACCGGCCTTATCCCCAAAATAATGCCCCTGAAAACAGATCTTATCAAAAGTAGTCACAAAAGGCCTATACGCCAACGGGGTCAGGAAGTAACATTTCAAACCAGAGAGGAACTGTACATTGGACCCATCACAGCTTTCTGTGCATAATTAATGTGACCAAAGGGAATAGGGCCAATTCATTGTAGTGGATTCTTTGCAAGTTAGATTATTTGGGACAATTATCATTGATAGCCCTGAGACTCAAAACAGATCTCAAAAAACAGAATTCCAATTGCATGGTCAAAGGGCAGTGGTTGGTATCATACATGTACATGCATTGTTTACCCAGCACAGAGTACATGTATACTTACTGAATGTAGAACAGGAATGACGACTTACACTGACAATTATTGAAAATGCATCAATGTGTTTGAAATTATTTTGGGTTGCCCAGTGGCACTGCAGCAATATCATTGGCCGGATGACTAACATTCAGAAACAATGTGATCATTGATATGTAAAGTCAAAGAAGTGCCTGGTGTCTAGCTTATCCTCCCCCCAACTCACACTGAGAAGAGTTGATACTTCATTAAAGGAACCAAGTTCAAAAGTAATATTGGTGTGTTTCACTGTTCGGGTTCATTGTGCATTTTGACTGTACGAGTGTCTCCGTTTCATTCGGATGCAGCGGTCACTCTGTGATATCTAGGGGGTCTTGACGACTTCAACACTTTCCGGCTCTGGGGCTGGCTTTTCCTCGACTTTCTCAGGACTGAAGAAAGGGGGAAACAAGCAAATGATTTAGGATGTTGATCGATTTGAATTTGACAGGGCTTTTTATAACAGTTTTTGGCATTGGTGAACTTCATATTTGTGTAGCTCTGACACGTTCACCAAAACAACGCCCAAAATTCACTTGTTTGATTCCACATCTTTGAAGTATAAGCTCCTTAATCGATACCCCGTTTGGAGCTTTCATGCACGCTTAGCAAAATGAAAATTATTGTTTGATTTTTGAGTGAACCCTTCTGTAAAAGGGGCTTTCCCTTTAAACCAATCAACATCTCACTGTCACTACTGCAAACTTGACTTTTATGAGTAGTCTGACACATTGTTTTGTATCCATTTAATTAAGCAGATGCCTACTGGGGAAACTGTTCCCCGGTAGACAACTTTGTTCCCCCACCCTCAGAATTTTAGTTTGACAACACAACAGGTACCTCAAAGCAGAGTGTGCTCCATAAATCCACCTCAACCCCCTCCCCTCAAAAATAGCGCAAAATGTTTCCCCCCTCCCTCCAATGATTAGACCCCAATTAACGTGGCACCTGTGGTTGAATGTAACTGTCGCAAACGCCAACAGTATCATCTAACTTTGTGTCTTGGGTCTGAGCTGCAGTGCAAAAAGTTGGTTAGCATTTTTCTGCCAAGCAAAACAGTGGGAAGTCAATTACAAGCAATACCAACTGCATGCAGTTTTGGTAAGTAGCCTGGTTTTGGTAAGCAAATGATTTCTTTAAGCTAAGTAGATTTCTGCACTTACAGCAGCCTTATATGTGAAATCGCTTCTAGCTGCTGTTTTGCCCCAAGTTATACTTACCAACTTTATACGCCAACTGACAACTACCTAGATGCATTCTGGGACCACAATAGAACTGTACTAAGCAGTTTCATCAGTCATTTCAAGCTTTCTGATCAAGAGATGTGATTTGTTTTCAAAGCTGGTTTTCTGAACGTGCCTAATTTTCCATGAATCCCACATTGAGACTGAATCATCACAAAAGAAATGTACGAAATTAACATGTAAAACATTTTAAAATTTAGCTTTATTGTGATGGATACTCCAGTGAGGAAAAAACACACCAAAAAGCTGCCATTCTAAGGCAATTCCAATAATTACAAAATAATTTATCAATACCCGATAATATCATTTACTTTACCTGACAGACCTGAATTGCCAAAGACTAGCTGGTTTTTAGCCACTCCAAGAACTCACAGGATATAATTTCCACCATGAAGTTCCTTTCCCAAAAAAAATTAGCACTATGATGTCCAACGACAGAGGTAGTGCTGAAAGCAAAAAACTATACCCATCTCCTGATCCTCAACCAAATTACAATGTTACATAATCCATATCCACTATAACCACTCACAAATTTTTCTTAGCCATAACTTGCAACTTCCATGGATGGGTCTGAACCTGACTTACTTGATGTTCCCTCATTTACGAGGCACACATCACTTCTCAAAAGTGGGTTGAATAGGTCGGCTAAACGGTCAGGCAAGGAGGTGGAGCATGTTTCCCAGTCCCCCAACTCTTAGTCCCCGGGATGCAAACATGTAAAGCACCATTTAAAACGATTCTTCCAACAGTTACGATTAAAGAAATACAACAAATTGACTTATTTCAGTTAAGCACAAATGCTGAATGTAGGTAGTTGGTCTTGATACAGGACCTCATGCTTTGTTTTTAAATTTAAAAGCATAACTGCATGTGTGAACCTAAGTCCTCCTGGCATGGCAAACACTTGAAAAATGTTCGGAAAGGGGGGAGGAGTTGGAATCCTCAGTCTCTCTGACTAGACACACAATTTGGCTTGGTAATTTGAGCAAGCATAATTTGCTTTGAGTACTCATATTGCAGCAGGAATAAAAAAAACTCTGGGAAGTTATCATTGCACTGGACTGTTAAGTTGGCTAAAAAAAAAAAAAATTCTGCTTCTAATTCACAAAAGCTAAAAGTTGTGCCACATTATTGCATATGTTTTAATGCTGTCAAACAAAACAGGTATTTGCCTTGAACGTCGTGGCCTATATTAATTTAACAACTCCACATTAAAATGTGCTCCCAATCATCACCAAGTTTCGTTCTACGTGAAAGGTGTAATGGTAAAAACAATTACAACTTGAAAGGCTTTCTAAAAACGATGCTCTGGTCAATTTTTACTTCTTCCCTAAATGCCTCATAACAATTTGAAATACTTAAAGGAATACACAGAAACTAAAAGACAAAAGCAGTGCAGCAGTCTACAAAATGAGTTCAAGCACATGAAGTTTAAAATCAGACTCAACTGACTGGTTAACAGCATGCAATAGGGAGCAGGCCATCTAAATGAGTTGCCATGCATGTAAATATCCAAGGTAAGCCCAAGTTGTGACTTGAGTCAAGTCTAATGTCCATTTCTTAGACATTGGTTTCATCACTGGCCTCCGTTTAATGCCTCTGCTCTATAATTAACTGTTCAAAACTTAATGATAAGAATCCAAACTGGCTTTCTGTACCCGGATTTGATGTTTAACTATGGTATATACATATATGGAGCCCAAGTCTCCAAAGACAATGACCTGAAATGATGAAGCTGCAGCCAGGGACTTACCCGAGTTTCAAAAATGATCTAGCTTTTTACCATGCTTTCCCAATATGGGAGGCAAGCTCAACTTGTCTTGCTGTGTGATACCACATACAATCATACGATTGAAAGTAACTTGATATTCAGCCAGGTATGAGCCCCAAGGTTGTTGAATCAGCCTCCATTCTGCATGCTTCATGCTGTTTTAAATCTGTGATTTTTAATTACTTAAATGCTGTTTAAAAAAGCACCAATGCAAATTCAAACTGTTGGTGATAAATAACAGAATTGCATACAATTATTACCTAATAGTGTGAACTAAATTTGTTTGAAAAAGGATGAAATGCTGTTTAATTAAGGAGTCCCCCCAAAATTATAATGGTTAAGTCCAGTTCTATTGGTGGAAGACAGTGATGTCTCGGTGATAGTACTAATCAGCTACGGGGGTTGGTCACAAAGATGTAATGATGGGCACAGACGGTGGATGAACCTACGGATAAAGATCAGAAGATATAAAACAAGAGAGATGTGATTAGAATGGGTTAATGTGATGGTCGAAGTGAAGCATCATGACAGGGAGATTGTTGGATTAACTATACAGGCAGTGACTAACTTCTAATGGGTTATGGATTACGGTGACCGTAATGGTGACTGAATAATGAAAGAACAACGGTCCAACCGATCGATTATGATTATCCAATTATGAAATCACGGCAAGGTTCGTAAGGTCGTAACGCGTGACTTGGTGCCTACTGGGTCATGAGGTCAAGATGGGATTGTGACCGGGTCATGGTAATGATATCATGGTGAGGGAAGTCATGACGGCAAGTGTGAGATAGAGAGCAGGGTAATAAAGTCAGCAAAGGTCAAAATGAGGTCAAAGGTTGCAATGACTGATGAGGAAATCATGAAGAGGCAATCATGAGGATGTCACATCAATTTGATCTATAAATCACCCATTGTTTAGGGGTTCAGATTTCATCATTTTTAACTAGATTTACAGGGAAGTAGATTTTCAGTGACTGTTTTATGTCAACATTTATTTGTCACCCATTATCAAACCTACTACTGACTCTTTCTGTCAACATCCTCAGAATTTTCACACAAAAAGGTGTCAATACAACAGTGCATTCAATTGTGACTTTAACCCTAAAATGTGCTCAGGCCGTGTCCAAAACGAGCTTCCAGAGCTACGGCTAGGTCTATTGTCAGCGCGTCTCCACACATTTCCAATGGAGCAAAGACCTAGACCTAGCTCCAGACAACAGATTCGGATGCAGCCTTAGACTCTTGTGGGGAAGTTACTGGATCAATCAAAACCCAACGATGTGCAGCAAATAAGCAGTAGATTCACTGTGCTTGAACACGACCAGACCATCACATACAAGGACTCTAGAACCCTCAAGGTGTCATAATAATGCAGAACAGTGTCGGCTTTGTAAGACTTTGGAGCAGCAAGGATTAATAATAACAAGTGAGGTAAAAGAAGAGTTAACATCTGCAGTTAACTCAGTCAGTATAAAGGATTTATGCATTGAATGCTAAATTTTTGTGCAGAAATCGTCGGGTGCCCGGCTGCAGGGCGTAAGCACCGGGAAGCATGATCACAGCAGAAAAAATGTTTCCCACAAAAGGGCGTAAGAAACACACTCTCTTCATTTAGTAAAAACGGATATAATTTACTACAAAATCAACCAGGGCTGTATCGGTACAAAAAGCAACCTTTGAACAGTTTATTAAAGGACTTGGGCATTTTCTTTTTGACTTTTTGCCAAGAAATCTTCACATTTCATTAAAATACAAAAGTTGCACACTTTCGTCCTTTTGATGGGAAAATTTTTTTTGCAGTGATCATGCTTCCCGGCAAAAAGGGCCTAAGATGTTCTTATGCCCTTCTGCCTGTACTTGTGCCTGAGATAAAACTAAGAATGTTAGTTTACCAAACTCTATTTCAGTGTGAACTTGTTTTCAGGGAAATAATGGCACTTAAGAAATAAAATTTAGAAAAGTTAATCGCAGGTCATCCTATGTCAGTGTTGTTGAGACCATTTATGACCATCACAAGACCTCTTGCCTGAATTCATGTAGTAAGCTACTCCAGTGAAATGCAACAAAAGCATTCCTTAACCCTAGCCCCCCAAGGGTTGCTGGCCCTAACCTTCCCCATTCACACA